TATATATATATATATATATGTATTCTGTCGGTCGCTCAATTCTCGTGGACACTTCGTAGTGCGCAGCGGCGGAGATAGTTGTTAGCGGCCGATTCCTGACGATTCCGATGGACGTTAGCTCTCACGTGTTTCGACATGTATCTCTCATCCGGCGCGTGACTGCTTGATACGACATACGCCTCCCAGGCTTACCCCACTCCACATTCGATACGCATACAGACGTATTTTATATCGATGCATTCAACAGCATGACGCCTCTCGTGTTATCAATTCTTCTAGTGACGTTGACATTCGGCTTGCAGGTATGCGTCACACAGTTGTCTCATTCGCGAGCGGGTGCCAATATACGAGCAAGCGAGCAAGCTAGCCTGCGGCGGCTAACGCGCCAATATAATACACGGAGCCGTTAATCTAGTAAACATCGCAGCCGTTAAAATGTCACCGGATTACAATTCGCGGTTGTTAATCTCGTAAACGCAGCAGCCGTTAAAATGTCAACGCAATGCAATTCGCCCGGCTTAATTAGCAGCTAAATTAATTACGATCGCCAGCGCCGCGATCTCTAATGTTAGCTGCCACCTCTGTAGTGGCGCGGTGGAGAGCGGACCCCTATATCTATGAATTGCAGTTTCATCGCGCCTTCTGTATACGCACACACACGCACGCAGACGCACGCACATACTCCGACATTTCAGCGTCCAGGAGAGAGCGAGCGCTCGCCGTCGTTCATGCTCGACAGACCCACCGTCGTTCGCGGAGACGGCGTGCGCCGACGCGGCCCGCAACGCGACGTTCGCGCCCGACGAACGCGATTGCGACGCGTACTACATCTGCGATAACGAGTGCCGCGGGAGATGCGGTGTCCGCGGGACTGTGTGGTCGCAGCAGGACGACCACGTCGGCTCGTGCGAGCACGCGACGATGTCGGATTAATGACCTTAGTAGATGTGCTGCACGTAGGCTGTGACGTGAATGTATAATCGCGTTACATCCACGCGAGAACGCATGCGGTTTAATACAATATTGACTGCCGGAGTGCGAACCCGCTGCTGCTCTATTGTCTGTGAATTCGCTCTACTTCAGCTTGCGTTTAATTTTCAGCACGTAATGAATTAAAGTTGCGCGTGACGGATTCGTAATATTTTTAAACATAATTAGTAGCTACACCTGCATGTTGTTAAAGATACGAGTTCGAGCTTATTTTAAGCTTCAGTGAAAACAAACACTGTAATTATATTAGTATTATAAGAACGTCGTCTGCTAATTTTTTTCACCACGCACTAATTTTAGCGCATACACCGAGTAATATCTACGCGGTGGCAGCAATTAAATGAATCATTAGTTTATTTGTAAAATACTAGTCAAAGAAGTGAAAAGTTCATTCATAATCGGGTTCTTAATTAAGACGCCAATGTAATTATAAATAGATACACAATGTTAGAACATGTTAGACAATGTCAGAACCACGTGGAAACGTTTGTTTCCACTGCAACTTAAAGCAGGTACAGAACAAAAGATAACAAACGCTTAGAACAGGCTAATTATTATATTTCATTATCTCAAAATTGCGCTTATACACTTTGATGGCCGCGAACGGTGTAAATATTACGTAACTATACTTCCGTATAACCATGGAGCAATTTACGCATCTAACCAGGAAATAACTTTGCTGTTTAGATGCATCTATAAGCGCAGCTTATTGTGTGATAATTGTCGCGTGCGACCTGGAATGTCAAACTACGAGAAAAGGACAAAGACCGTCTTCATTCGATAAATAGCATTGGTGATTGTCGGTGGCTGGCTGCTAACCCCCAGTCTGCCGTGCTTCGCACCACTAGATTTTAAACCACTGTACGCCTGCTGCTATATCGCAGTATACAGCCGAGCCGTATTTGGACTACTCATTACATACAGCAATGCAACCTGCGCTCTCCACAGTACACACTCTTCAGCACCCTGCTCCCTGCACAGCGTGGTGGGAGTGCGCGTATACAAAGACGTCCATATATAGGCATAATTACGCGGCCATGCTTGACAGCAAAGACGCTCAGTCACATACATAATGCAGAATCACTGAATCCATTGCCTTTAATTTTTAATGCAGTCTACGTAACGATAGATTCGACATGCATGCATTTGGCACTCCATTTGTTTTTATACTACATAATCATAAAGGAGTCAACGCGCCTTATGGATAAGTTATAAAGCACATCTTATCGAAAAGCAGTTGGGAATTCAAATGTAAATACAAGTACATTCTCATCTGTTCTCGATGTATATCTCTAAGAATGCAGTTTTCATCAATGCGTAGCCGATGGCATAACGCTTGTTCTAGGCTCCATGCATGCATCAATGGACCTTTATCTGTGCTCTCATAGATCAGAGAGCCGATATACTATGCAGGATCTAGTTTAAGAGCCCGCAATCATTTAATTACATCCGGCGAAAAGTGAACGAACCGAAAGTTGCTGTGGCAGAAAAAGAAGAAGAAGACGCTGCTGTCATTCGCGTGCAATTACGATCTCTTGACCGACTAACATAGACAACAACATCGGTTATTGCGCTATTACTCACACAGAAGACGTTTCGTTAAGACTCGCTTTCGGTTGCGACACAATAACGCTACGCACTAGTTTTTTTCTCTAATCCTAATCGCACCATGCACTTATACACCGAATCATACTCTAAAAACGTTATTATACTAATAAAATTGCGGGATAATTAGCTTCGGAGCTCTGCCGCGGGTTCGCGTTGGAATCAACCGCGCATAGCTCACTTTCATGCACTTTCGTCGTAGATAAGTGAAACAAGTCGACATACATTTGAATCAAGCGAGACCGCGCGTCGCCTCCACGCCACTCACAATGGCTGCGCTACTGGTCTGCTAGATACATTAATGTAACACAACAAGAGTGGGGAATGTACAAGAGTAATACAATGCACAAGAAGAAATACATTGCACAGTAGTACACAGAGTAACACAAGAATAATACAATGAACAAGAATAATGTTACAACCATAGAAATAATATACGTAGATATACGTGTCACTATATATTTCTATGGTTACAACCGAACATTACAACCCCACTCTTGTTGGGTTACATTATTGTATCTGCTGGTCAGCGCGCATGTACCCAAGCAGCCGCTAACGCCGCAACTATAACACTACACAATTCTAACACTAACACTATTCACACTACATTTCTGATACAAGAAGCTTTCGACGATGGACTAATGGCGACACTTTTGACGTTTCGTTTTCAGGGGATTGCGAGGTGAACTGCGGTGACGGAGAGTGCATTCCCTACTCGGCAATCTGTGACGGAGAGGCGCAGTGCGGCGACGCCGCCGACGAATACAACTGCGGTAATGCGTCACGGAACATTCGTTCTGAACAGTTGTTCTGAACATTCGCGGCGTTCGTACAGTCGTTTCTGTACATTCAACGCGTTCGTTCGGAACGTTCGTTCGGAACGTTCGTTCGGAACGTTCGTTCGGAACGTTCGCTGAGTTCGTTCTGAACATTCCTTTGGAACATTTGCAGCGTTCATTCTAAGCAATTGCTCGGAACATTCAGCGCGTTTGTTCTGAGCAATTGTTTGGAACATTTGCGGTGTTTATTCTAAGCAATTGCTCGGAACATTCATGGCATTCATTCTGAGCATTCCTTCGAAACATTAGCGGCATTTATTCTGAGCAACTGTTCGAAACATTCACCGTGTTCGTTCTGAAAATTCTTTTGGAACATTCGCTGATTGTTCTGAGCAATTTCTCGGAACGTTCAGCACGTTTGTTCTGAGCATGCTTTCGGAACATTTGCGGCGTTCATTCTGAGCAATTGTTCGGAACATTCGCCGCGTAAGTTCGATGTAAGGACCATATACTATATACCCTCATCTTTCGATATAGTATAAGCTACTATGTTGGGTTACTATAATATATCTATAGACACCTGCGTGTGCATCATTGTGATTGACGACGGAGCATCATACGCTAAACTGTAAATAAAGTGCGTGGGAAATCGCACGCAGTAATCACCTCTTAGCCATTACCCTCGCGATAATACAATATTCCCACGGGGTTAAATCTATAAATGAGATGGCGATGCAAATTCAATCTTCCTTACATTAAAATCATTATCGAATCATTTATCATTGTTATGAATGCTGAGGCATGCATGGCCGCCCCTGGGGTGAGTGACGGCTCGTGTTTCTCATGCTTGTTAGCGATGGTAATACATGGTAATGCGCGTTTAAACATCAGAATGATGATGTGATAAACACATCCGAGATTTTGTCGTGCCTGTGCGGATATAAAAAAAATACTGAGCTTAGCCATCTTGCCATCAGAAACGACATCGCTATTATTTTATGTGAAAAATCGTTAAAAAAAAGATATTATACACATAGAGTACCCAAAAGTACACATATAATATAGGCACATCGCTGATCGTGTGTTGTTAATCGGAAAGGTTACCATAGATCCTTTTTACGCGCGTTTGCATACGGAAGCAGTTCCAATCCATCAAAATACATTGTAAGGTTTGCAACGCGATTACCCTATACACGTATACACTAACAACATTATTTTTACAGAGAGCTATCGTTAAAATTATCACATCATTTTTAATTTTAATTTAATTTTGTTTTTATTTTACGTAAGCTTTCATGTTCCTGTTTGTATAGCGTCTACCTGCAACCAGAGCGTTTGCATGCCGCCCAACTGTCGCTGCACGGGTTTTGACATACCGGGCAACTTGCTCCGAGAGGAGATTCCACAGATGGTCACCATCACTTTCGAGTCTGCCGTTCGCACGATGGAATTTTTCCATCTGTATCGGCAAGTGTTTAAAAGGCTCACTAGAGGGCGCAGAAGAGAGGCGCGACGCAATCCAAACAGCTGTCCCGTCGTTGGCACATTCTTCGTGTCGCATCAGTTTACCGACTATGCGGTCGTGCAGAATCTTTACGCGGATGGCCACGAGATGGCAGCACTGTCGATAAGGTGAGAGTCTTTAGCGCTGCACGTTGATTGTGCGAGCGAGTGGGAAGCATTATGACCCGTTGAGACCGCTTCAGGTGTTGAACAACAGTAGAGGGCGTCCATAGGCGGCAGGCCTGAATAAGTATCAAACAGAAATTAATTACAAATACTCACACTGTTACTGCACTTACAAAACATACACTTTATTCATGTTAAATAACTACAGATTCATGCTCTATGCTCCGCTCGAAACTTTTGCCAGCTCTATGACGCGAATTTCTGCAAAGTTGTCTGAACACATTTCATACATAAAAATCACCAGCCGGTCGCTGCGGCTACGCCACCTGACGGAATGTCACGAGTACACAACAAGACCAATTTTACTTCTAATGCTTTCTAGACGTCCACGAGGCATCTAACTTGCGTGCATAATGCAAATTATTGCAATCTTGTGCCGAATTTCATCGAAAAAAAATGCCAAAAAAAGCATTTTCTAGAGACGAAATAGTGCAACGGTGAACAATTGCAGAAGCTTACTGTTGTACACCTCCTTCAAATCCGAACTTTTGCAAATAATGTAGATTCGGTGCGTTGGGTATCTGGAACGAGAGCGTCATATAATACGAGATTCTTTACTCGATGGTGTTTCCTACGTCATGATGCGTACCGATTTCAACGCGTACGCGTATGATAATTTTCCTTTGGGGCAAAACTCACTGATTTCCCTAGTAGTCCTCGGCGCTTTAATCTCTAGCACACTTGTAGCCTATTAGCGGGTTCGATCTTGTTATGTGCACGCGTCGTCACGCCGACTATACGCCAAAAAAAATCGATCAATATTTGCCTTCTTGATGTCATCTCGCACGGGCCGATGAGGGCTATAGAGGTGCGTTATCTGAATGAAACTCGTCACTGCACGTAAATGCAATATACACTTGACTTTCCGCCCGTCACGCCGAAGCACTCTCATCGTCCCACGCTCTGCATGCGTACAATTACCGCCTGCCCTGGCACTGCACCCCACTCAGCGCAGAGGCGTTAAGCGCACGCGCCCTCACTCACGACACTACTAGACAATACAAACGGACACAAACGGATCCTTTTTGCACTGACGCTCGACACGTGGACGGATGAATTGAGTAGACCTGTGGTTGATATCGGTATTCAGCGTTTCTGCGAGGTTATACTGCGCGTTACATATAGGGATAAATAAAGCAGCAGTGTCCACCTCTGCATAATATGCGACAATCGTGCCATGGTTATATTCGTCGCGTTGTCACGCCATATGTCCCCGCGCCATCACAATACATCAATCATCGGTATGTGCTTTATTTGGGCAGCGATCGACGTTTCTATCTGACATTTCAGCCACCGCTGGCCGACTACATTTTGGCAGACTGCTTCCGCGCAGCAATGGGCGCAGGAAATAGCCGACCAGCGACTGATATTTGAAGAACTCGGTAAAGTACCGAGCGATAAAATCGTTGGAATGCGGGCGCCATATCTGCAGGTGCGTGCACACAGTTGCGAAAAAGGTCGTCGTCGGCTGAAATAGCGTGACTTATAGTATGATGTATAGTTTCGGTCGTTACATATCGCAAACGAGCCTTTGCGGTAAACATTGGACAGCATGAAACATTCACGAAAGCACGCATGTGCGAACGAACGCACGCCCGCACGCACACACGCACGCACGCACGCAAGCACGCACGCATACAAGCACGCAATCTCGCACGCACGCAAGCACGCACGCACGCGAGCACGCACGTGCGAACGACGGACGCATGTACTCGCGTACGTTTACGTGCACGTGAATGCGAGTTTTATTGAACGTCGTGCGTTTTAGTGTCGCCTACTATGAGCAAACAACTGAAGGAAGAGAATTCTAACAGAACATAGAGCATAAAGAGCCAGTAACAGGCGATAAATAATGAAAACAATTAATGCTGCCGCTACACAGCAACGCTTGCATTCTACAATACACACGCGGTGTTGATGTATCCATAAATATGTGAATGGCAGTGTAGCTAACGTTGCCCAATCGCACGCCATTATTAAAATATATGATGCGTGCATCGCAACGAACATTATATTATTCATATATTCGTATTAACTATTCGCAACGCTATTATGGGCCTATTATGGGCCTATTATGGGCTTACAGTCATGCGGCATGAAACATTGCATTTCATGTTCGTTCTTGTAATCCTCGTAACAACTTGTCTACTGAGATTTTGATTAACTATACCCCATCGCCACACACGCACACACACACGCGCGCGCGCCACACACCACGACACACCACACATACACAACACAATACGCAAGCACGCACGCCACCACGCGCGCCACGCACGCACACACACACACACACATACTATTATATATATATATATAATATATATATATATAATCATCGTATCGTTTCATGTGCGCTGCACATTATGCGCGCACATATTTCTGTTACAAGGTAGGCAGGCGAGAGATCAGTTCTATATGCTTCCAGCAGCACGCTTCAAGTGGACAACAGCAATAGCAAACTCAGCTATCGATCCTCCTCTTTGCCCGCTTCACTCTCGCATACCAGGCGGAACATGCTGCGTCACGAGCCCTAGCCCTCCACGCAGCTACCGCGGAACTCTGGGAGATACGATGGCTGACTCATCGACAAACGTGCGAATTCTGCAACAACTGCTAAGACAGTTTGCGGCTTCCCGCCCTAACAGAAGCGAAGCCCGCTGCGCACCTCCTTGCGATACAACTTCGCGAAAGGCCACTATCTGACGATAAGCCACCCTTTCCGCTTACCTCGCGCGCACGATGACGTTCGAAGAGCCCCACTACCAACATCGAAGCATTAGAAGAATTCCTCCGACAGAACTCTTGCCTTTGCATGAAAGACGTCTTCTTCGTGAACTATCAGCCGGCGCGTGGAGCTGCGTTGAAGCACCGACGAAATTGGCCGACACTTCAGGGCTTCGCGCCGTGGCGGTGGCGACGCGGACGAGCCGTCGACGGCCCCGGAACAGATCAACAACGTGCCGTCTATTTAAACGTCACGCTGCCGCCCAACTTCGTTCGACCATCCCGGTGAACGTGTTCGTTATCGAACGTGCGCCGTCGTGTCGGCCCCTGTATCCTTTCGTTAGTGGAAAATCCCCCCAATGTGTAGACTACGACGTACTTCGCCACGCGCTGGCATTATGTAATGTGAGCTTTTTATCTGGCATAGTGCAAAAAAAGGTACGCTGCTTGTTCTGTTATACGCCCTGTGGTACCTCTGTATACTGTGCTGTTTACGATGCTATGCGAGCGTACTGCGAGCATGGAGTACGATTTGGGTTCGATGCGTCTTGTCAAAGATTAGACACGTTAGAGGTGACATCATCCTACATTAAACCAGTGTCAGTTATTTAAAATATATATATTAACTCCTGGTCGATTTTTCATTGTATTATATAACATGTTGAATGGCGCTTAACAATTATATATATATATATATATATATATATATATATATAGTTTTTACGTCATTGTTGAATTTCATATTGTCCTGGTTATTGTCATATTGTCAATTATAATTATTTGTGTAAATTATTGATGAAAAATTCTAGACATCTTCTTGATGATAACACTTAAAAGACAAGTGTACTGACTAGTTACGATAACCTCATAGTTTCCTGTCATCCTGTGTCTCGTAGGCCTACTCATTTTAAACGGACCGTCATCTAACACATACGTTTCACTTTATTTAATGTATCTTATATCAGGATCTCGATGTGATATAAGTCAGATAGCAAAATGTGTTCAACTCGCTCTTCTGTCAGGATGAAGTAAAGCCGCATATCACGTTTCTGTGTACATTTATCGGTGAAGTTTACGTTTAATATTATTACACAAATCTTCTACACCCACAAATTATGATGATGACATTGGGGGTTATAAGACCCAAACGTCGCATAAAAGAAAGATAAATAAAACATAGATCATTCTTTCCACGATAGGCATCCAGCACATTCCAGTCGCACTGATTTCTGCAGTTCTCTTTCGGATTCGTCGTCGTTTCACGTTCGGAAACATTTACGATGCGCGCAACAAACGACTAGAGTGCTCCCCGAGTAACTACCTACTAACCATTAAGACGAGTTAATCAACGGAAGGCATGCAAGAAACACTTCTTGAGAGAAAAAAACCGCCTCGTTTTACCTTAATGCCGTTTCGTGACGTTGGCGCTGACGATAACCATCGACAACAACGCGTAGGTGCGACCGTTCGACGTCATGTCAATCTAGCTTTAATTTCGCACGGCAATTAGAGATTCCGAACATTTCTAATCCTATTATATTCATTTGCCGCATCCACTCAGCACTCACGCGACGCCTCTTCCTTTCTCGCATGACATTTAGATGCCTGCGGTGGCTCGCATCCGTACGTGGCACATAAAGCATACGATGTAGACCGAGATCGGAATTATCCTTTGTTCTTTCACTGGCTATTCCCACGCCGCTTTGCGAATTTACAACGATGTCGTTATCTCGCAATAGTGCGTTGAGACGAGCGCTCATCATCGCACTCGCGAGGTTGTTCAATTCCAATCAACGCGCTCTTTGAAGAGTAATTAAAAATCTCGTACGATTTTCACATGACATGGACGTATGGAAATGAAAGCCGACTGAGCGTGTAGGAACACATGTAAATTATTGTTAAAGATATACAAAGAAGTAGAATGGCTGTCGTCATGTGGAACCGCGTGCAGGATTGTGTACCATTTAAGTCCAAGTAGCGAGCAGCATGCTACATACATGATTCTTCTCTCTCTAGGTTTTAAAAGTAAATCGTAAACGCTAATAACAATCAGCGGTTGTAAAATCTGCAATACCTGCGATTACGCTGTGGGCGATGAAAGCGTGTGTTGTTACCATTTAAATACCATGTAACATGTAACATGTAAACACAGGTGACAGGTCATTTGTGAAAAAAATGGAGTCAGATCCACGATCATGACCTGCGCTGCGTGTGTATACGCGTTAATATTACTTGAAAACAATGCCTAATATATCTGTGGTTGTGTGTGTGGGGGGGGGGTATACGTGCGACGTGCGTACATGCGTGCGTGCGTGAGTGCGTGCGCGCGTGGGCGCGTGTAGGCGCGTGTGTGCGGGAGTGCGTGCACTCGTGTAGCCGCGTGTGTGCTCGCCACAACAACCAAACAATTTTGCTGCTATAATTTCTAATGCTATTAGTATAAATTCACGACACTATGCTGTCTGGTAAGCAGTGAGGTTATAGCAACGACCTACGTTTTCGAACCGATTGAAGCTGTCGTTTACAACGGATAGTCAGCTTAAAGGTAGCCGTATGTCTTATTCCAAAGTTCATTTCCGCCGCTGCATTATTTAAGCAAAAAGTGCTCAGCATAAGGTAAAGCTAAGCGTTCAGCTTTTGAGCAAAAGTATTTTGACAGATATTTTGACATACTTGAAGAATATACATATATCTATGATATAATTAAGTGTGGCTGGGTTATTTTGAGGTTTAAACGCTCGTCATAAATCCTTTAAAGTTCAACGACTAACATTTTTTGCACAAATCACTACCTACATGTTCCAGAGCTATCTACCATACGAAGGGTCTAATTGTTCTCAACTAAATATTTATACGGTGCCATCGGCGTCTTTTTATGTTATCGTAAAATGTTTAGATAGGCGCCGTATCTCTCCGATTATGGTTCACTGGATCACATGTTGCACACAAATCACTAACCACATGTTCCCCGAGCAATCATCCATAAGAAGGTTGTAATCGCTCATATGTCTCCGTGCAAGGTTCAAACCGTATCGCTTTACAGCGGCGGATGAAGAGAGAAAGGATGCTCCGGGGAGTTGTCTGTGTGACTGCCTGCCCGATTTCAGCAAATCATTCTTTTAGTCGAAACAATTGTACTTCAAAACAGAAAGCATATAGTGAAACATCTCTCTTTCTTTCTATTTCTCTCGCTCCCTCTTTCTCTTTGAATCTGTTAATTTTTGCATCTGAATACTGATAGCTTTATTCGTATACAAAGGATATTATGCGGAATCACGTTGACAATCGATATATATAGGCAGTTCATACGTAGCCATCAACCAAACGATTACGATTGAAATCTCATTTTAAAGGTCAGTCGCAGTTAAAGGTCAGTTAATAATGTGCAGTCGCGTGTCCAGTCGCGTGTCCTACGCTAGGAACGTTAGCCTTTTCCGATAATTATATACTGGCTAACCTGTGTTATCGTAAAATCGTGCATTGTCTGCCAGATGCCTGTTTTCTTTAGGGTTCTCGTAGAGACCCTAGTCCCTCCACTGTTATGGACCGATTACGTATATGAGCAATAATTTCCTCGTAGACGCGAATATTCTTCGTTAATGGTTTTTACGTGACGCTACACAGCCGAATCGCGTTCGGTTGATTACCTTGGGGGATACTACAACGAAAGTTACATTGAATAGAGGTATCGCAAAAATATTAGCCAATTTCGCGTTCCGAAAATAGCGTCGCATGGGGACCTTTTGGCTAGCAAACATAATGCTCACGTACGGTCATAAGTGCATGTATAGGTTTCACAGTATACCTGCTTCGCAGCGTTTGAGATTTGTACACATACCGTATATGCACATCGCATCCGAAAATTGTGGATGCAGTATCCACTATAAGCGTAATAAAATCGCGAAAGTATAGGAAAGGCGGTGTTCTTCACAGGAAGCATCTGGCTGCCCATGTCACTAGAGCGTGCCGGACGCCTGTTTAGCATAGAAACGTTTTGTCATTAGCAGTAAAAAGCTATGAACTGGCTACGAAATGAGGTCACCGAGCATGCGCTGTCGCAGCTGTGCGAAAACGGTCTATTGCGCATGCATAGACACATGTGCGTTGTTCAGTGCTTTTCTTATATGATGCCGATTTTCCGGTATATCAGTGAAATGCGATCAGTAAACTAATCAATGTGAACGGTGACCGACACTGAATCAATTCTTAAAGATGTTGTCTTTGAATTTATGGAGACGAGATGATATCGCAGAGATCCTTATCAATACTGTCCATTTCCAAAACAAATTGCTATTCTGATCAGATATATACTATCAGAACGTTTCACATCTTTCAAAGCTGCTGTGTCAAACAAGTACGCCGGTCGTGCAGCCCACGATCACAGCAAAATATTTGATTGCCGTGCTCGAGGGCAGGTTTTTATAGTAAAGGTTAAGCTTTTATGTTAAAGGTTCGGTCGATATTTATTGCAGACTTGAAGATAGCAAGATCGGTTCTGCACCACCGTCTGTCGTAAAATGCCATCTTATTATTGCGTGTCCCTACTGAAATTACATTTCTAAGCGTATTTTATTCATAGGATAACATTGTAACTAATTTATGAGATCGCTTTACTTCTAAAATGGAATTCAATGACAATATAAGCACTACACTTTCAATTCCGGCGTATAGTTGGTTAAATATAGAACTACATAATTATATCATCGCTTCAGACAGATTTCGCCACAGTAA